GGCAGGAAGGTTGCGGTGGGAAGGCAGAGGCGCCCAGGCACAGCAGTGGCATGTGCAAAGGGCCTGGGGCAGGAGAGCTGTGTGACCCTGGCTTCTCTCGTGCATGACATGCCTGGAACACTGGGGCACAGGGTACACACATGTGGACCTGCCACGTGGGCATGGGGCACTGTGCAGGGCCAAGTGGGCTGGAGGGCGGGTGTGCGCTGGCTCCTGCAGGCTGGGGTGGGGCCGCTGACCTCCAGAGGAAGGAGTATCATTGGCAGTGTGTGTGGAATGGGTCGGGGCTCCATCCTGCTCTGCCACCTGCGTGTGCCAGGGACCTGCCTGACTGCAGCCCCGCCACCCCTCTGGCCAGCCCTTCGGGGCACTGCCAGGCAGGAGCAGAGATGGCGGCCATGCAGGCAGAGGAAGGCATCCCTGAATTAATCTGTCACTAAAGCTTGGCCATGGCAGGCGCAGTCATGATTTAGATGAATAATTGAAATGCTCCGATACATTTATTATCCCTTTAGTGCAAAAGTGGCAGAGAAAGACGAGGGGTAATTGGAAAAGCGCGCACAAATCTCCACGAGAAAGCCAGCTCCTTATCGCCGGGTAAACATTTCAGTCCCAATAAACAGGAGAGACACGCGTCAGGGCCCTGTCGATTCCCACCCTGATTTAGGGCCCGCCTCCCTTCTTACCATACAATAAGAGTGTGTTTAAAAATAGTGGGGTGGTTTTTTTTGGTTTTGTTTTTTATCGAGACAGTAAAAGGCTCTCCAGAGAGAGGCGGGAGAGCGAGAGAGGGCCTGGCAGTCTCCTGGTCTGAGGATCTGGCCGGGGCGCTGGTGGCTGCCCAGCCCCATCAGGTCTCTCCCCCGCAGGCACAGGCCCTCTACCTGGTGGGCCTCTCTACCCCTGCGTACCTGTTGAGCTCCTATTCAGCCTTTAGGACCCAAGTCAAATGCCCTCTCTGCTGGGAAGCCTTCTACCAAAATGGGTCTCTTTGAGGGCAGAGCCAAGTCCCGAGTCCCAGTGTTTGACACAGGTGTCCCCCGCTACACACACACACACACACACACACACACTCAGAAAGAGCCCTGGGAAGGAATGAGGAGTAGGGGGCTCCTCACTATAGCCAGAACCACCTGGTTTGGCCCCAGGGCCTGGAGGGGGCTCAGCCTCAAAGGGAGACAAGCCCAGGAGCCCCTGATGCTATGGGGTAAGTCTTTTTGGCCCCGCAGCCCCTGGGAGCTTTCATTGAGGTTGGGGGCCCCCGCTCCCCAGAGGCGCAGTCCTCTCCCTCTCTGAACCACCACACCCTAGCAGTAAAAAGGTAGGCTCACTGCACCAAAGCTCTGCAGGCCAGGCCCCAGGCCCCCTTCTGAGCTGATAGCTGCCCCAGACCCCATTCGCTTATTGCCTGCTGTCCCTTGGCTGCAGCACTGGCAGGGCACCCCGGGATGGTTAGACCTGTGTCCCAGCTTCTAGGGCACGACCCAGCACACAGAGAGTGCAACTGACTGCCCCACAGAATCCCCCAGAACCCTGTCCTGGGGAGAGGACATTCTAGTGGGGAGACAGACAATGAAAACAAACATAAGACAGTTTGTGAAGGGGGATCGGTGCTGTGGGAAAGGCACAGAGCAGGCGAGAGGAGCGGCATGGTAGGCTGGGCCGGCTGGGCCATTCTAAACGGCGGCCAGGGCAGGCTGAATGGGACCAGTGCTGGTTAAATGCCCGGATGGTGGGGTAGGTGGGTGGGTGGTGATGGGAGGAAGGTAGGTAGGTGGATGGATGGCTGGGAGGTGGGTGGTGGTGATGGGAGGAGGGTGTGTAGGTGGATGGATGGCTGGGAGGTGGGTGGGGGTGATGGGAGGAGGGTGTGTAGGTGGATGGATGGATGGCTGGGAGGTGGGTGGGGGTGATGGGAGGAGGGTGTGTAGGTGGATGGATGGATGGCTGGGAGGTGGGTGGGGGTGATGGGAGGAGGGTGTGTAGGTGGATGGATGGATGGCTGGGAGGTGGGTGGGGGTGATGGGAGGAGGGTGTGTAGGTGGATGGATGGATGGCTGGGAGGTGGGTGGGGGTGATGGGAGGAGGGTGTGTAGGTGGATGGATGGATGGCTGGGAGGTGGGTGGGGGTGATGGGAGGAGGGTGTGTAGGTGGATGGATGGATGGCTGGGAGGTGGGTGGGGGTGATGGGAGGAGGGTGTGTAGGTGGATGGATGGATGGCTGGGAGGTGGGTGGGGGTGATGGGAGGAGGGTGTGTAGGTGGATGGATGGATGGCTGGGAGGTGGGTGGGGGTGATGGGAGGAGGGTGTGTAGGTGGATGGATGGATGGCTGGGAGGTGGGTGGGGGTGATGGGAGGAGGGTGTGTAGGTGGATGGATGGATGGCTGGGAGGTGGGTGGGGGTGATGGGAGGAGGGTGTGTAGGTGGATGGATGGATGGCTGGGAGGTGGGTGGGGGTGATGGGAGGAGGGTGTGTAGGTGGATGGATGGATGGCTGGGAGGTGGGNGGAGATGGATGGGTGGGTGGGTGAGTAGATAAATGAGTGGTGACAGGCGAGTTGGGTGTGGCTAGAGGCCTGAACCCCTCATGGTAGACTCAAGAGGAAAGGATGGAACTTCAGGGGACCCCATAGGAAGATTGGGGTCTGTTTAGGCAGAGTCAGGTGGGGTGGGGTCCTGGGCCCCCCAGTCCCAGGCTACTCCTGCTTATGCCCCCCATCCTGGTAGGTTGGTGGGTTATGGCCGGATGGACCTGACCAGACCAGCGGTGGTGCAGGGCACAGGGAACAGACGTGAGGGCAGAGCTGTCCAGGGGTTCTGGGGCCCTCTCCCTTCCAGCCCCAGGCGGGTGTCAGGCCCCTACCAGCCCTGGCCTCGCCCCTACCCCAGTCCCCTCCCCACCACCTCCACCTTGTTCCAATCACATTAGCAGAGTGACAGCCCCAGCGAGTACTTGCGGCAGCTCCATAAATCTCAGCCAGCGTTAAAAGGCTAGACTCCGGGCCCACTTCCTCCCGGGCCCTGGCTCACCTCATCCATCTTTGCGTCAGTCTGGCCGACTTGGGGGCGGCTGTAGCCTCCTCTCGTCCTCAATGATGCAGGAAGGGGAGTTAGAGGGACACCCATGGGGCCTCTCCCCTTAGTCTGGCCAGAGCAGGTACCCTTTGACCTCTCAGAGTGAGGTCACCAGGCCATCTCTGAGGCACACCCTGCCCTGCCAAAAACCTCAGTGGCTCCCTGTCCTCGTCAGCAAGTTCCTCTCTTAACATGTAAGGCCATCCCTGCCTTCACCTGTAGTTCATTCATTCATTCAACAACCATTTATTGAGCATCTGCTCTGTGGGCCAGACTGGGCTCCAGGTGCTAGAGATAGTCATGCCCCTGGAGCTTTTGTTCTCGGGGAGACAGACAATAAACCAGCTGCTCAGGTGGTCTCAGGCTCCTGCATCAGCTCCCGCCTCCCCTCCTCCTGGCTGGGCCCATCCTCTGAGCCTCCCTGAGCCCCCACTCTTTCCTTCACTTCAGGCTTCACCTGTGCTATTCCCTTTGCCCGGGACACCCTTCCTACTGCTCTTCACCAGCTCTCTCCCACCCAGTGGACGCACCACCTCCTTCCAGGAGCCGTCCTGATGCCCAAGCCTGGATAGGCGCTCCTTCCTGAACCCCACCTTGCCTATGAGCAGCCCCTCCCCATAGACCACCCTGTGTAATGGTGGGTGCTCTCATCCTGACTGTGAGCTCTGGGAGGGCAGGATGTGTCCTGGCACCCAGCAGGCCCTCAATCACTGGGTGATGAAGAGCAGAAGGGGAGGGGTGGCTGTGGGCAGAGCATAGCAGGTGCGAAGTCAATAGGGCCCCAGAGTCTGTGGCCCCCCAGCCTCCAGCGAAGCCCCCTCATTCTGTGAGGCCTCCAGGGCAGCTGTGACCTCCACAGGGACAGCTGGAGGAGAAGTGGGGAGGGAGAGAGGGAAAACATCTCCAGCCACAAACAGACCCCCCTGCGTCCTGGCTGGTCACCGACAGCTCTTAGCGCTGCTCTTATTTATTCCTGACCTTCACTGCCCCTTTTATTTTTCCCCCTTTTAAAACCTGGCCTGGGCCCCGCCACCGCTGCCGTAAACACAGCCCCCGGGATTTATCCGACGGCGCATTAACCCCTGGCCCCTGCCTCACCAATCATCCTGCTGCCTGCGCGGACAGCAGGCAGCCCAGCCCGTGCGGCCCAGGGGCTGGGGGCGAGGGGCTGGGGTCAGCCTGGGTAGGACTGGCCAGGGAGGTGGGCCCTGGGGCATAGGGCTGTCCCCCATGGCACCTGCTGACCTTGGCCTGGCTGCGGAGCCCACCCTGACCGAGGACCTCCTGCCCAGCTGGCCTGTGGGAACCCCTGCCTCAGGGTGGCCACTAACACTGGTAAACACACAGCTGCTCTCGAGGGCTCAGCAGTTGGCAGGGCTCTCCCTGACTGTACGAGACCTCAGCTGGCCGCAGAGTCACCTTTCAAGGTTTCGGAGCAGAGCGCAGACGATAATTTTGCCCTTCCAAGTGGGGAAACTAAGGCCAAAGGGGCACAGAGCATGCTGAGGGCATGTCAGGGTCAGAGGCAGGGCTGGGCTTTTCCCACATCGGCAGGCCCCCTGTCCCTGGCCCTGGGCCCTTTTAAACCTCACATGTCCCCCACCTCCCAGTTACAGACCAGGAGGCCTCTATTCAGAGGGGACCTGCCCAGGTCACCCAGCAGTGAGGGACCCAGGCCTGCCACCAGGTGTCTGGCTTTGTCCACGGTGATGGCAGGCCAGACAAGGCCGAGGGGGAGGGAGGCAGAAAGGATGGGCAGAGACAGAGACATGGGGGGCACTGGGGGGTGATGGGAAGGCCGTGGCAGTAAAGGACAGCAGCAATCGAAGCTCAGGGGCCAGGGGGCCAGGGGAGAGAAGCTGTGGAGGAGTGGCATCACCCCCCACCCCCGTGCCCCCAGACCACAGGAAGGGTCCACTCACCACCGCCTCCTCCGAGCAGGGAGCTGTTGGCTGCAAGAGAGAGAAGAGGCTGGTCAGTTGGGGAGTGGCTGGTGGGGGAGGCTGTGTGCAGGGCGGAGGTAGGGCTGCCAGCTGGGCCTTCAGGCTCTGGGCATGGGGTCTCCTACGAGGTCGGACAGGTAAGCGGGCGGTGGAGGGGCCGGGGCTTCCTCTCCCACTGAGGCCTGTGGGCCTGGGATGCGTATGGCAGTGAGGGAGGGCCTCGGAGCCGCCAGGGTCCTGCCCGCTCAGCCCAGAAGCAGCTGCACATGTGGTCTAGAGGCAGACAACCTGCAGCCACGCTTGTCCATTGCTATTCATTCATTCTTTTGCCCACAGTGCCTCCTGAGGCCCATTTGTGCCTGGCCTGGTGCAGAGATGTGGGACGAACAGGGCAGTCCTGGTCCCTGCCTTTGGGGCTCACAGGCTACAGAGGGACACAGACTTGGAGCCACTGGGAAACTGTATTATTGCAGCTGTGGTAAGTGACTGAGTGTGTGGGGGGCAAGGACATGAAACCGTGTGTGATGTGAGGGCCCAGTCCCAGGGCAGCGCAGTGAGGGCCTGGACCCAAAGCCGGGGTCAACGGATGGGTGACTCGAGCTACTTTTCTCCGTGCCTCAGTTTCCCCAGGGAGAACAGGCCACCTTACAGGGTTGATGTGAAGCAAGGGAGCTCCCACCCTTCCCCCCTTCCCTAGAGCAGAGCTGGGCTGCCCGCCGCTGTGGCTGCCCGGTCCATCTCGCTCTGCCTAGCTGGCTGCCCCCTTCCACCTCTCCCCGGGGCTGACGCGGGGGCAGAGTGAAGCTGGCGCCTCTCCTCCGGAATGTCAGGGCTGTTCAGGTCAGTGCCCCCTCCCCAGCAGGGGCTCCAGCGCCTGGCCACACAGCTGCATCTGTTAGCTGCTCGTGCTAATCAGGGCAGGTGATGGCAAGACAGGGCAGGTGTGTCCCCAGGCCCAGGCGTTGCCCAGGTGGCGAGACCAGCTGTGCCACAGCCGCTCTGGCCCCAGGAGCCCTGGCTCCCAGGCAGGGCCTTCAGCTCCCACACCGCTCTGGCACCTACCACCCTACCTCCCCAGGTCATGGTGCAGCCCCTCTGTATGAGGGGACACACAGAAGAGCTGGGGCCAGAAGTGGGGGCCATTTCCGGCTGGTCAGGCTGCAGGCCCGGGTGCCACACGGAGGCTGTGGATGCTGCTAAGTGGTGTCGGTGGCTCCGAGTGGCTGGTCTCCCAGAGCTGACAGCTCTTCGCTTGGGGAATAATTAATTCCACAGCCCGAAAACCCAGGGCTGCAAGTTGCCACGTTACTTGCCAGATTAATACAAGCAGCTAATTAAGATGGAGAGGCGAGAAGCGGCTGCGCGCTCCCAGAGCAGGGTGGGGGGCTGCGGGGAACTCGGGGGCAGTGGTGAGGCAGCTGGAGCCGGATCCTAGTGAGAGCAGGAGAGGGACCACGGTGGGACACCCAGGCAGACAGGTAGACAGGCAGGCGGCTGAGGGGCTGGGCCAGAAAAGGCCCTGGATGTGGCCTCTGCCCCAGGAACTTGCATTTCAATGACAGAAGGAGAGCTATTTGCCAGGCACAGGAGGAGCTAGCGCTTCACACAGAGGATCCTGTTCACTGTCATAACAAAGCCACGGGGGAAGAGCTATTGTTCCCATTTTATAGATCAGGACACCGAGGCTCAGAGGTTGAGTTGCATATGGCAGTAGCAGGATTGGAAGTAGCTTTGTCTGACTCCAAAGCCAAGCTGAAAAGTAGGCTGAACTCAAGGCAGACTGCCCGAGGACTCAGAGAGCCTCTCCCCATGGCCAGGGCTGGGCTCGCCTCCTCCACACCAAGGCACAGCACACAGTAGGCCCACCCCTGCCCCAGCAGGTCTGGCTGCAGAACTGAGGGGCTGGGCATCTGGACAGCCCTGTCCCAGAGCCAGCAGGGGTATCTCAGGTCGAGCGGGTCCAGCCCCCGGCTCCCTTGGTCCTCAGGGCAGTCCTGGCGGCTGTCGGAAGCTGCCCTCCATGGCCCTTCCCCACCTCCCCCATCACCTCTCTCTTAATTAACACCAGCTGCAAATGAGCTGGCTCCCGCTCTGAGGGCTCCGTGCCAAATGGGTTGGCATGGAGCCTTAAAGGGGCAGGAGGGGAGGGGGCGCTGACCTGCTGCTGTGCAGGCCCCTGTCTGAAGGAGATGCTAACCTCCTACAAACCCACCACCCCCTGACCCCCACCGTGTGTGACCCTGCTCAGATGAGGGAACTGGGGTGACCTGTCTGACATCTGCCAGGCCAGGAATATCTAGGGGCCAAGGAAGTGGGCCTGGGGCAGAGGAAGGATTTCACAAGGCTGAGCCGGGGGAAGGGCTGGCCAGGTGGCCAGGTGGCATTACCTGCCACAGGTAAGAAAGGTCAGGTGGGGCTGACAGGGGCTCAGACTGGGGCTGCACAGAGGACCGGTCACCTGCCTGTCCCCAGCTCAGTGGGTGTCCTAGGAGGCTGATCTGCAGTGTCCCTTGCCTCCAGCCCTCCACACTCAGCAGCCCCATGGGTGGGGACTGAGGGGGAAGGGCAGTGACCCTGTGGTCAGGACCCAGTTTCTCCCCTGCTCTTTCCCTGGGCCCCTGTCTGGCTCTCTCCCCAGGGGCCTGGCCACATGGTACTCCCATGAGACTCACCAAGGTGCTCAGTTGGGCCAGGCGGCCCAGGTAAATGGCCTGGGGGTTTGGGGAAGATGCCAAAAAAGGAGGGCAGAGCCAAAGACACCTACAGGCCATCCCTTGGATGTGCCCCTCAGCCTCCCACCTGAAGCAGGGTGGTCCCAGGCCTTCTGATCCCCAGGCCCGGGCCGGCTCTTCCCACCTCACCTACCCCAGATGCTGGCCTTGAGTCTCTAGCTCCTGCTGCTTCTGCTGTCCACCCCTTCATGCTCCCCAAATAACAACTGGTGATTCTCCCATTTCTTGGATGAGGAAACAGAGGCTCACAGAGTGACTGGGGAGTGGGGAAAGGGGCTTGAACAGGATGGTTGGCTGTCAGCGCCCATTTTCTTCCCCTCTGCTCCCCCT